AAGTCCACTCTCGATATATACCCAAGAGAAATGAAAACATGTCCACACAAAAATTTGTATGCAAGTGTTCATAACATTCATAATAGGAAAACAGTGGAAAAACTGAGATGTCTACCAGGTTGATGCGTGAATAAGATAAGGTATATCCATAAAATGGAGTATTTGGCTAAAAAAAGACAATGAAAGACCAATACAGAAAATGGGAGTGTTTCTCAAACCAAGCTAGGTGGAATAAACCTAGCTTATGAACTCACAACTTAAGGACTTACAGCTGAATTCTACCAGACCTTCAAAGAAGAATGGATACCAATCTTACTGAAACTATTCCACAAGATTGAAGAGGAAGGGATCCTCTCTAACTCATTTTAAGAAGCCAGTATCACCCTGATACCAAAGACAGAAAAAGACACATCCAAAAAAGAAAACTACAGACAATATACCTTATGAACAGAGGCAAAATCCCTCAACAAAATATTAGCAGAGCAAACTCAACAGTACATAAAAATATAATACCATCACAACCAAGTGGGTTTCATCCCGGGGATGCAAATGTGGTTCAACATACATAATCAATAAATGTGATCCATTACATAAACGGAATTAAAAACAAAAATCACATGATCACTTCAACAGATGTAGAAAAAGCATTTGGTAAAATCCAGTATCCCTTCATGATAAAAACCCTCAGCAAAACAGGCATAGAGGGAACATTCCTCAAAATAATGCAAACATTATATGACAAATCCATAGCCAATGTCATCCTGAATGGAGAAAAATTGAAAACACTTTCCCTCAGAACTGGAAAAAGGCAAGGATGCCCACTTTTACCACTATCATTCAATATAGTACTAGAAGTCCTAGCCAGAGTAACGAAAAAATAAAGTGTATCCGTATTGGAAAAGAAGAAGACAAAATATCTCTGTATGCTGACAATATAATCTTATACCTAAAGAACCCTAAGGACTCATCCAAAAGACTTCTGGACTTGATAAATGAATTCAGTAAAGCTTCAAGGCACAAAATCAACACATACAAGCAAGTAGCACTGTTATATACCAATAGTGCAAGCTGAGAATCAAACTAAGGACTCAATTTCATTTACAACAGCAGTCAAAAGTCTAAAATACCCAGGAAGAAGTGAGAGATCTCTATAAGGAGAACTACAAAACTCTGATGAAAGAAATTGTAGAGGACACAAAAAGATGGAGAAACATCCAATGCTCATGGATTGGAAGAATCAACATTGTTAAAATGACCATATTACCCAAAGTAATCTACAGATTCAATGCAATTCCTATCAAACTACCAACATTATTTTTCACAGAATTAGAGAAACATTCCTAAAAATTCATATGGAATAAAAAAAGAGACATAATAACCAAAGCAATCCTAAGCAAAAGGAGCAAAGCTGGAGGCATCACATTAACTGACTTCAAATACAAGGCTGTAGTAACCAAAACAGCATGGTACTGGTACAAGAGCAGACACATGAACTGGTGGAACAGAATAGAGATTCCAGAAATAAACCCAAATATGTACAACCAACTGATCTTTTTAATGAAGCAGATAGAAACATAAACTGGGGAAAGGACACTCTATTCAACAAATGGTGCTGGGAAAATTGGATAGCTACATGTGGAAGAATGAAACTTGATCCTGATGTCTTCCCATATACAAAAATTAACTCAAGATGGATTAAAGGAGCTATAAGGAACTCAAATGTGCTGAAAGGAGAAAAATAATCAATCCCATTAAAAAGTGGGCAAAAGACATGAATAGACACTTCTTAAAAGAAGATATATACGAGCAGCCAACCAACACATGAAAAAGTGTTCAACTTCACTAATCATCAGAGAAACGCAAATCAAAACCACATTGAGATACCATCTAACCCCAGTAAGAATGGCCATCATTAATAAAACAAGCAACAACAGATACTGGCGAGGACTTAGAGAAAAAGGAACACTTCTACACTGTTGGTAGGAATGCAAACCAGTGCAACCTTTAGGAAAACAGGGTGGTGATTTCTAAGTGAACTAGACATTGATCTTCCATATGACCCAGCAATCTCCCTATTTGGAATATATCTGGAGGAACTCAAATCATTCTACCAAAAAAGATACCTGCACACACATGTTTGTTGCAGCACTATTCACAATAGCAAAAACATGGAACCAACCAGGCTGCCCATTGAAACTGGACTGGATAAAAAAAATGTGGTACCTATACACAATGGAACATTATGCAGTCATAAAGAAGGATAAACATATGGACTTCACAGATACTCGGATGGATTTAGAGTCTACCATACTCAGTGATCTATCACAGAAACAAAGAACAGAGAACCACATATTCTCACTCATAAGTGGACCCAGAGCAATTACCATAATACTATAAGAAGGGGATTGGCAGTAGAGAGATACTTCCATGGTGGGGAGGAGGGAAGACACAACATCAACATCAATAAGGGTACCCGACCTCAAACCAGGCAAAGTGATGACCAAAGGGAGGTCCAAATTTTACCTGTACGATGACCACTTGCATACCTAATCCTGAATTGTACCCCACATCTTAAAAAAAAAGTAATTCCACTTCATACTTCTAGGGTGGCTATAATTTAAAAAATGGAAAATAAAAAAACCAAAAAAATAAAATTTTAATTAATAAAAGAAAGTAGGCTGGATAAAAAAATGTAGTACATATACATGATGGAATATTATGCCAACATAAAGAACGACAAAATTATGAACTTTGTAGGAACTTGGATGGATTTAGAGTCTATAATACTCAGTAATCTATCACAGAAAGAAAGAACTGAGCACCACATGTTGTCATTCATAAGTGGACCCTGAACAATTATCATAATACTATAAGAAAGGAATTGGCAGTAGTGGGAAACTGCCAGGGGAGGGACTGGGGGCGGCGGCACACTTAATCAATAAGGATATCTGATCTCAAGCCAGGTGAAGGGAGGAGCAAAGTGAAGCCCAAACTTTACTTGTATAATGACCATTTGTATACCTAACCCTGAATTATACCCCACATCTTTAAAATAAAAAAAGAATGTATACACATTTTAAGAGATACTATCTATGTATTACTTTTCAAAGTTGCATTGAATTATGGTATCAATGTGTAGTGTGACGTTCGCGCAAAAGATGGCTTTAATCAAATGAAAGCTAGTGTCACCATGCGACAGACAGGACAGTCAAATAAAATGGTGGAAGCATGGTTGTTGTTTGAGGAGTGCAAGACCATTTTGAAGTGGTATTTGAAATTCGAGAACGTCGTGGGAGTACAACGACAATGGAGGCATGTGTATGCAACAGAACCTCCAACACACCTAAACAATTGCATACATTTACGGTAAGTTTGAGACGCACAATAATGTGTGTGATGTGCACAGCGGAAGATCCGGAAAGTCTCACACAGCAACATGTCCTGCAGTAGTTCGTCATAATCAGAAGTGTCTAAATGCTGAAAATAACCACTTTGAGCACCTCTTGTCATTGCTAAAGTCGAACATGACTTGTATTCAATCACAGCATCGAATACTGATAAGACCAAAAAATATGCGTTTCATTCAGTGATATAAAGGTCATTGGAGGTCAAAGAGAGAGATATTTTGGTGGAATAGATGATGGCAGTAACAGCCAGTTTTGAGTGTATAGATGACTAAGGGGGAGGGATTAAAATATATGACTGTAATATTTAATAAGGGAGAGACTTAGTATGTTTCAACGAAGGTGAAAAGGATGTTGTGAAGAGGGCAAGGATGAATATGGCAGAGACAGAATGTGTTAGTAATAATGTAAGTTACCAAGAAGGCAAGAGAGTTGGAACCGAAGTGTAGGTGGAAGCATTAGTCTCAAAAGTATGAAGTGCACGTTGTCAACCTATAATAATATGATAGAATAGGAAAAGTTGAACCAGATTCCCATTGGCTTGTGTTTTTGAGAGCACAATGTTGATTTTCTTTTATGTTGCTGACTTGTGTTTGCTTTGTGAAGACAACGTTGGGAGAAACACTTGCCGGGGAAAAGGAAAAATCTTTGTTGGGAATGAGAATGAACAGTTCATTTAATCTCTTGACTCTCACTGCTTCCACCTACAGATGGAAGCCTAATAATACTTATCTCCAAGTACTAAAGAGAAGGATGTGTGAACAAATATATAAGAAATGGTCTTATAAACTTAACATAGAGTACTTGGTATGATTCATATTGCTGGGGTTTCTCCTAAGTCTGCTCTGATTCTCCTCCCTGGTTTTACAGTGTTTATGCCTGTTGAGATGACCTGACCAGGCACTACTACTGACTTTTAAGGAAAGTCTTCAATTCAACTTAACACTTATTTCACATAACTTTTATGATTATATATACTGTATCTTATTGTTCTTCTTTTAGAAGGGTGGCATGGAGTGACATGGGGGTAATGATGGTGTTATGACCCTACGCAGCTTGGGCATTGGTTTCAGATCATTAATCCCTGCTTATTTAACTCATTGCAGCATCTTTTTCTGCTTATGAATTAAGTGTTTTGTTTCTTCTAATAAAGACAAATTAAAAAGCACATTTGCCATGTTTCTCACAAAGTGGGTGCTTCCACACATGTGGAGAATGAGAAGACAGTCATGTGCAAGGGTGAAGGTGAGCACATACACACAGTGAATGAAAGTAGGGGAAGAGAATTCTATAATGTGTTTTTCAGTAGAATTGGCATCACTGCTTCAGATAACCAATTCCTGCTTATTTAGTTAACCATGAATGGCACATAGTAGGTGTTCAGTAAGAGTCTTCATTTGCATAGGTCAAGATGAACATGGTTCCCTAAGGAGTAAGAGCAAAGGAGTAAAACAAACAAACAAACAAACATTTAAACAGAAACTGTTGCTAATGGCTAATGAGTCAAGGACCGCCACATGTGAGCCATCCTAGGGCATCCCGTGCTGTGTTCCCAGGTTGCCCAGTGTGACAGGTGCATGCTCTTCCAGTGGAGCGTCAGCAAAGTGCTCTAGGAGTGATGCGTGATCTTACCGTGCTGGGTTTGGAGGCATCTGACATGGCCCTGCTGGAGAATGTGTACACCTCAGACTCAGCTCTCAGTTTCCTGATCCCTTTGAACCATGTCCCATATTGCTCACGGACCTGCAGAAGAAAGCACATTCTGGGATCAGCTCACAGAGAGGGGCAGGGATCGGGAGAGACCTGGGTGGGAGCTGGGTAGTACCTGCTGGCTGAGGAGGCAGTAGACCAGGAAGATGAAGAATCCCTGCAGGGAGTTGATGATGGTGAAGAGGTAGGCCATGAGCCGGGCGGCCGGGCCCACCTGCAGGAGGCCCAGACACCACGTGCAGCCCAGGATGAAGAGCTGAGCTGTCGCTTTAAATGTCAGCATCCTGGGTTGGATGAGAAAGGAGGCTTGTTGCACCTAGAGCCACAGGATCAAGGCCATTCTCCTCTCTACCCCATGGATGCCTCTGACGGAGGCATCTTCCACTTTCATCTTTACTGTCAATGTTCTCAGACTGAGTTGTGGTCAACTCTGATCTTTACTGTGAGAGATTCTCTCAGAAAAAAAGTTATTTGGGCCCTTGATGGCTGGCATTTCGACTTGGACTGAGGACAGTAGCAAATCTTCATAATGTAGACTTCAAAAAGATAATGATGTTTCATGAAGATCCCTAATTTTATTCCACCAACATTACTGAGGACATACCGTGTGCTTGAAAGACAAAATTTCTGTTTTCACAGACCTTAGAGTCTTGTGGAAAGACAGAAACAATCACTTATAATATTTGTGAAGTGCAATATACCACTGCCCACCTCTCATCTAAGACCCTTCTGGTTCTCTCTCTCTGTCTCTCTCTCTCTCTCTCAATGAACTGACCTAGAGAATGCTTTGCACAGAAGAGAAGCCATTAATTTTTACAAAGCTGAGGAAAGCAAAGGACTTCCCAGTCTTTAAGAAGATGCCTTATGTGGACAGTGAACCTGATTTCTCCAGGGGGAGGTGTGCAGGAAGTCAGTGGGACGAGCATGTATGAAGGTGCAGGAAGTGAAAGGGCATGGAGGTTCTGGAAGCAGTCATGCAATTTCCTAAGTGTTTCACAGAATTCTATGAGGGGGGACTCCCCCAAGAAATGGAATTTATTTATAAAAATTGTGGGTTTATTCTTACATGTTTAAGCTTCAGTCACCTTCAAACTACTCCCCATTTGATGCAATACACCTATTGAGATGCTTTTTCCACTGCTCAAAACAACTTTTGAACTCTTCAATTTTGATGCCTTTTAGTGCTTATGCCATCTTTTGTTTCACCTCTTCCACATCGGCAAAACATTTCCCTTTGAGGACTTTTTTCCATTGGGAGGAGACAAAAAAAAGTCACTAGGGGTAAGATCGGGTGAATAGGGAGGTGGGGTTTGGGGGTCATACCATTTTGGATGAAAAACTGCTGAACATTTAGTGCAATGGGGGCAGGTGTATTGTCATGGTGGAAGAACCAGTCATCTGTTTGCCACAACTTAGGATGTTTCTTCTGCAAATCGTGACACAACCTTCTCAAAACTGATGGGTTCCTAGAACACTTTCCTAGTGGGAGAGTCCTGTACTACAAAGGACTCAAAAAAAAAAAAAAATAGAGAGAGAGAGCAAGCGAGCATGCCAGGTATAGTGGCTTACGTCTATAATCCCAGCACCTTGGGAGGCTGAGGTGAGAGGATTGCCTGAGCCTACGGGTTTGAGATCAGCCTACTGGCTACTTGGATGGCTCAGGCAGAAGGATCACTGGAGCCCAGCAGATTGATGCTGGGGGTGGCCGTGAGTGTGCCACTGGACTCCAGTCTGGGCAATGGAGTCAGATTTCAACTCAAAAAAAAAAAAAAAGGAGATAATTTTGGTTTTTGGGTCCCTCCCAAGTAAATGCTCTTCAGATTTTTGTCATAGGGTTACGAACGCAATCTTTATTTGTTTGGACAATGTCAACTCTGTAGTTGAGGAATTTTTAAATTCTTTTACTGGGGTTACGAATAGATAGAATGCTTTTGGCATGGGTGTCAGTAGCAAACCATGGCATCAGAGCTAACTGCCAAGGAGATGTGACTGGACCTCTGTCCTCTGAATTCCCTAGAATCCCTGCAAAAGGACATCAGGAACTCGGTACCATGCATGGGGTTGAGGTGGTATGCACCTTCTGCTCCATCTCACCTTGTGTTCTGGAGGGTGGACATATCACTGTTGAGTGAGGAGAGCTTGCTTTTCACAATCCAGAAGGTCATCAGAAGTAAAACCAAGTTAATCTGTAGAAACCCCCCAAGGTATATTGAACAAATCCCACATCTGCAAAATCTTTCTCCTAGCCTAACCCAGCATGTAAGAAGATTTGTATTTCACAGTAGTCACAGAAAATCACCAGATAAAATACCTGGTATCTCAGGCACATTCTTGTCCTGCAACTAGGGTGACCAACTCATTCCAGTTTTCATGGAATCTTCCCTATTTTCTCCAAAAGTCCCACGTCCCAAGAAACCTCCCAATCCTGGTTTTATTTTTAATTTTATTTTTTGAAAGACAGAGTCTTGCCCTGTTGCCCCAGGTTAGGGTGCAGTAGTGTGATCATAGCTCACTGCAGCCTCAAACTCCTGGGCTCAAGAGATTCTCCTGCCTCAGCCTTCCTAGTAGCTGGGACTACAGTTGCATGCCACCACACCTGGATAATTTTTAATTTTTTTGTAAAGATGGGCTCTTGTTATATTGCCCAGGCTGATCTCAAACTCCTAGTCTCAAGGGATCCCCAGCCTCAACCTCCCAAAGCGCTGGGATTATAGGCATGAGTCACTGCTCCCAGCCCAGTCCTGATTTTAAAACTGAAATTCCAGTATCCTGGGGACATTCATACAGTCCCAGGCAAGCTACAATGATTGGTCATCCTGCCTGTAAACCACCTTAAACACCTGCTCTTGAATGCCCCACAGCTGGGCAGTAAGAACGCTCTGATGTCATCTATCACTCACAGAGAAGATGGCGCAGACAGGTCCAAGGAAGGTCCATATAAATCCTTTGTGTGTGTGGAGCCAGCATCTAAGAGAGAGATGGAAAGAGATTCAATAATATATTGGCCCATTTACCCAAAAGATTTGAAATCTGTCTAAGAGATGACTGCTCCCTTATGCTCACAGCAGCACTCTTTCACAATAGCCAAGTTATGGAATAAATCTAAGTTTCCATCAGCAGATGATTGGATAAAGAAAATGTGACACACACACACACACACACACACACACACACACACACACACACACACACACTGGAATGCTATTCAACCATAAAAATAATGAGATAATGTCTTTTGCAGCAACATGGATAGAACTGGAGAACATTAAGCTACGTGAAATAAGCCAGGCACAGAAAGACAAATAGGCATGTTCACACTTATATGTGGGAGCTAAAATAATATAACTCATAGAAGCAAATAATAGAATGGTGGTTACAGAGGCTGGGGGGAGAGGAGAATGAAGAGATGATATTTAAAGGATACAAGGTTTCAGTAAGACATGAGAAATGTTTTTCTGAGATCTTTTGCACAGCATGAGGAGTGTAGTTAATAACAATGTATTGTACATTTCACAATGGCAGAGAGCAAATTTCATGTGTTCTCATCATGAAAGGATAAGCATTTGAGGCAATGTACATGGCAATAGCTTGATTTAATTATTCTACATTATTCATACATCACAACATCCATAAATATATACAATTATAAAATTTCAATTTATAATACAATAAAAAGACTATATTGCCCCATGTGGATAAAGAATTAGTCAATCAGTTAATAATTTATTGAAGAAATATTGAGTGTTTCCTCTGTGCCAGGATCTGTGTGTGGCTTCAAAGACTCAAATGAGATTAAGATAGACTGGTCTCAGTCCTCATGGAGACCCTAACAATTTGACAATAGAAACAATCAAGGTAACAGGTTTTATGATCAAAGTATGAGGAGCTATGAGAATCAGGGGATGAAGCTTGTTCTTTTTTTTTTTTTTTTTTTTTTTGAGCTGGAGTCTTACTCTGTCGCCCAGGTTGGAGTGCCATGGAACACTCACAGCCACCCCACCAGTGATTCTTCCACCTCAGCTTTCCAAGTAGCCAGAACTACAGGTGCACACTACCACGTCTGGCTAATTTTTAATTTATTGTAGAGACAAGGTCTCGCCAAGTTGCCTGGGCTGGCCTCGAACCCACGGTCTCAGGCAATCCACTTGCCTTGGCTTCCCAAAGTGCTAGGATTACAGGCTGAGCCACTGAACCCAGCCTGTAGCTTGTTCTTTAAGCTGGTCTGGGGTATAGAAATCAGATTGTTGGGGAGATTTCCTTGAGGGAGTTGTATTTTAGCTGAGATATGAAGAATGAGTAGGTGTAGACAAGGTAAAAAAAATGTCTGTACAAGAAAGAAGAGTAAAACAAAAATTATCAGGAAGTGTGATACAGAACTGAGGCAGGATTTATGCCCATAACATAATGTATTCTTCATGGCAAAGTGGGCACTCGGATGATCACAGGTAAAGCATCAGACTAAACAAAGTCAGCAACTCAAGGCCATACTGACAGAAATGACAGACTCGGAACTTGGTCCCAAGTGAGGGGCATTGGGAATCAGATGGGAGGGGTGAGGAACACCAAGAGGGTTTGCTGGACCCACCAGGAAGAATGGAAGAGACAGCTTTAATTCTAAGGTCGGGGCAGTGAGCTACAGCCTGTGGGCCAAGTCGGGCTGCCCCTGATTTTGTAAAAGTGTCCTACTGGAATACACAAATCAACTCAGTATTATCCATGGCTGCTTGTGTGCTACAGCTGCAGACTTGAAGAGTTGCAGTAGAGACGACATGACACCCCACAAAGCTGAAAATACTTACTATGTGTCCCATTACAGAAAGAGTTTGCTGGCCTCTACACTAAAATATCAAGGAAGGCCAGTTGAAAAGGGCTCTTTTCATGTGGGTAGACATTCATTTTATGAGTGGAGAATATTGTGAGTGCAAGTGCTGAATTCAGACTGCCTGGGTTCGAATTCCAGTTTTGCCAATGACCAGCTGTGTGATCTTGGGCATGTTAGTGGATCACTCTGTGTCTCAGTTTTCTCTTCTGTAAAATTGGCATAATACTAGTTTCTACCCCCAGAAGATTGTTGGGAGGATGGTTTGAGTTAATACATGTTAAATGCTTAGAACAGTGCTAATTACTTTCTTATCTCAATCATTTTTCATTGTTTAAATTATTTTATTATGTATTTTATTTTATCCCTTCATTTCAGTTTTGCTTTCTAGATGATTTAAAGCAGTTCTCTCAATTAATACATTAAAAATTATGTTAATATGCATTTACTAATATCTAAGATGCAGTTAATACTATACCAATGTGCAATCATCAATATATCTAATATTATTTTTTGTTTTGAATAGGAACATTTAATAATAGAAAGTCATCATTATTCCCTAAGTTAATTTATAATTTTAACATCCCAGTAAGTATGCCAACTGTTTCCTTTCTTCTCATAACTACCTAAGATGCTTTTGAAATTTCACATGAAAAAAAAGCAGAAGAATCAAGAAAACTCTGAACAGGAAAAACAGTGAAGGGATTCTAATCATTCCAGATATTAAATTATGCTCTAAAGTCTTGATAGCTAAAAGTGTGGCTGTAGCTCATGGAGAGACAGATTTAGGGAACAAAATAGAATGCCCAGAAATAGACTTAAATATATATGCGATAATTTAGTACAGCACTATTCATAATAGCGGAGACATGGAACCAACTCAAATGCCCATTGAAAGTGAATTGGAAATCCATCCAAGTTGCTGTGAAGTCCATATATGTGTCCTTCTTTATGGGTGCATAATATTCCATTGTGTATATGTACCACATTTTTTCTTTATCCAGTCCAGCTTTGATGGGCAACATGGTTGGTTCCATGTTTTTGCTATTGTGAATAGAGCTGCAACAAACATACATGTGCAGGTATCTTTTTTGTAGAATGATTTGCGTTCCTCCAGATATATTCCCAACAGGGAATTGCTGGGTCATAAGCAGACCTTGAACAATTATAATACTATAAGAAAGCATTTGGCAGTAATGGGAAACTGTCAGGGGTGGGGTGGGATTGGCAGTTGAGGGAAACTGCTAGGGGAGGGAGGGGCATACTTCATCAACAAGGGTACCTGCATGATCAATGTTTGTATACCTAATCCTGAATTGTACTTCACATCTTTATAATAAAAAAAAAAAGAAAGTGGACTGGAAATAAATGTAAAAATAATAAATAAATAAAGTCGACTGGATAAAGAAAATGTGGTACATATACACCACAGAATACTGCACAGTCATAAAGAAGAGCAAAAATCGTGTCCTTTGCAGCAACATCGATGCAGATGGAGACCATCGTTTTAAGTGAAACATCACAGAAACAAAGAACTGAAAACTACACATTCTCACTCTTATGAGGTCCCTGATCACTCATCACATGAGCACAAAAGTGGGAACAACAGATGCTGTGCTGCTAAAAGAGGAAGGAAGGAGAGATAAGGGGCACACAACCACACACTGGTACCAGTTTCACTATCAGGGGAAGAGAGGGCCTGCTAGAAGCTCAAACCTAGCCTGCATGCAATTTACTTATGCAGTAAATCCTCACTTGCACCTGACAACTCTAAAATTAAAAAAAAAATCACATGCTAAATTATCACATATACATTGAGGTCTAACCACCTAACACTGATAAGGATGGCTATCATTAAAACATCAAAAAACAACAGGTGTTGGTGTCTGTGGAGAAAAGGAGCACTTCTACACTGTGAGTGGGAGTGTAAGCTAGCTCAATCTTTGTGGAAAGTCATATGGTGTTTTCCCAAAGAACTAAAAACTGAGCCTCCAAATGGTCCAGCAAGTCCACTTCTGAGAACATATTGAGGAACGTAAATTGCTCTACCAAAAAGATACCTGCATACATATGTTCACTGCAGCACTATTCACAATATATAATATTTAAAATAATTAAAGCTAAAAGGTAAAAAACAGTCACCTCATTTATTTTTCGTGATTATGTTCATTTAATTATTAATATGTCAGTATCATATTGGCATATAATTATAAAGATGTACAGTTAATATTTATACAATTATTCATATAGCATTCAATTAAAACATAAAATAATTTAATATGAAAGATTTTAAAGCAAACACTCTTCCACCAGGAAGATGTTGGAGTTTGAGGAAGTTAGTGGATTTTTCTCTGCCTGTCACATTCTGATGAAATTACAGCATTGTGTCAGTTCTAGTGGTGGCTAGGGTTGCTCTGGGGAAGACAAGGATGAGTGGAGCTTGTATTTACCGGGTAGGGGTTCCATAAAGGTGAGGCCTGGATACTGCAGAAATGGCCACAATCACAGTGGGGACTCCGTAGCCGACTGGGAACATGAGCTTCTTCACGAGTCTGTTCATGCTTGAGTAGTTGACCACCATCAGGTTCCGAGCGGTAAGGAAAAGGTGCAGGCCCTCCAGCAGCATCCAGGTGAAGGAGGCCAGGTAGAGGTAGTGTAAGGCACCGGCAATGGTGGCGCACAGCACCTGGGAAAGGAGGGTCATGAGATGACGTTCTGTATGTGAAAACGCCCCTAGGCTTTCTCTATTGCTTTGCCATTGGCAGGTAAGAAATAACATGTTATGCAGAGTGGCTACTTGCCATTTCCACCAAGCAACAAGGCTCTTTTGTCTGCTTGACCCTGGAATTTCCTTTGAGTTGCAAGGTCATTTTATTAAGGTATCAAATACAGCATTGCTGCATGGGCTGGCATCCCTGGTCCAAGGCAGGGAGTCCTCTGGGAAACTGTCAGTACCTTAAGCTCAGTTCTGTCGATTGCCGTGAGGAAGAGGAGGTGGGCCAGGAAGAGACAGAGCGAGAGCTGCAGGTGCAGTGAGGTGCTGGTGTTCTGGATGGCTTTGCACAGGAGGAAGGTGAGGGCTGCCAGGAGGAGGCACAGCAGGGAGAGGCCCAGCCCCATGTAGGTGATGATGGTCAGCACAGGATCCTCCTCCTGGGATGCAGATAAGAAGCGTTTTCTTCTGTGTTTATTACAGCACTATTCACAATAGCAAAGATATGGAATCAACCTAAGTGCCCATCAGTGGACAATTGGATTTAAAAAGGTGATATGTGTATATATAATGGAATACTACTTAGCCACAAAAAGAGTGAAATCATGTATTTTGCTGGAACATGGACGGAACTGGAGACCACTATCTTAAGTGAAACAACTCTTAAGTGAAATAGAAAGTCAAATACCATATGTTCTCACTTAGAAGTGGGAACTAAATAATGTGTCCACATGGATGCAGGGTGTGGATTGATAGACAATAGAGATTCAGAAGGGGCAGGGGAAGGAGGATGGAAGATGAGAAATTACTTAATGCATACAATGTACATTATTCTTCTGATGAATATACTAAAAGCCCTGACTACACAATCTACGCTTATAACAAAATTACACTTTTACCTCATACATTTATACAAATAAAAAAAGGAAGAGTTTACAGTCAGACTGTCCTGCTCTGGGGTGGGACTGTGCTTTTCAAAGTACACAGACTAGAATGGTAAAGCTTAAAAACACCAATAATATCAAGTGCCAGCCAAAAGGAGCAGCTAGAAATCTCATATACTGTTGGGTGAGGTAACAACTGTCTTGAAAGGAGTTTGGCAATTTCTTAAAAAGGTTGGACACACACTTACCATATGTCCAAGCAACTCCATTTCTGAGACTTACATAAAAGATATGAAAAACAAATGTCCATATAAGGAATGTTTAAGAATGTTCACAGTGATTATATTCATCATAGCTCTAAGTGGTGTGGAAGTTGTCAGAGTCAAGATGGTGTCACTTGGTCTAAAACCCCGAGAAATGGAGTTGGGAAGGCCATGAAGGGAGGGTTCTCACATGTGTGTGCCTATCACAGAATACTCTGCAAAACCCACAACCTGCACAAAGGCTATCATAACCTTACACAAAAAATACTTCTGTGAGGACAACTGCCCAGCAACTACCTGTCCAGTCTCAGACTGGCACCTCCCTTGATAGTGATCCTTGCAGCCAAGGATAATTGATTCAAGATCATTTATGCAGTCCTCCACATTTTGCCCTTAAAAATTTCCCCTGCTTCAGTCTCTGAATATGCATACTTCCACTGCAGTGCTACTCCTTAATAACTATCCTTTTATTTTAGAGCATTTCCCTCTCTCTGTTATGTTGTTTGACACTGGAACAATGCAGATGTTTATCAGCAGGAAGATAAAGGGACGCATTGTGACCTTGGGGTGCTGTATAGTAATACAAAGGAATGAACTATGATTTCACACAATAGCATGGAAGAATCTTACAGACATTATGGTCAGCAAAAGAAGCCAGACACAAAAGAGAATGTATTTTAGAATAGTCAAAAGTAAACTATAGAGATAAACATCAGATCAGTGGTTTCCTTGGGGTGAGGTTGAGAGTGTACAGCAGGGATTTCTTTTCTATAGTTCTTATTTTTATTATTTCTTTATTTTCGATACATTATGTTTGCATATGCTTATAGGTACATGTGAAATTTTGTTACACGCATAGACTGTCTAATGATCAAGTCAGGTATGTCAGGTGTCTATCATCTGAGTATTTATCATTTCTATGTGTTGAGTCCATTTCAAGTCTTCTCTTGTATCTATTTTGAAAAATACAATACATTGTTATTAACTGTAGTCACACTTCTCTGCTATCAAACATTAGAACTTTTTTCTATCTAACTATATGTACCCATGAACCAACCTTTCTTCACCTCCTCTCCCATACACCCTTCCCAGTCTTTGGTAACAATAATTCCACTGTCTACTTCCATGAGATCAGTTTTTTAAGCTCCCATATCATGAATGAGAACATGCAATATTTGTCTTTCTGTGCCTGGCTTCTTTCACTTAAATGATGATCTCTAGCTCCAACTACATTGCTTCAAATGACATGATTTCATTCTTTTTTCATAGTTGAATAGTATTCCATTGTGTACATATACCTCATTTCATTTATCCATTCATTTGTTGACAGATACTTAGGTTGATTCCGTCCATATCTTTGTTCAGTTGGGTTTGTAGCTATATGAGGCTTATAAGTGTAAAGACTCATGATATTTTTTTTTGTTGTATACATATTATACCAAAATAAAGTTAATTAAAAAAAAAATGAAGTACTTGAGAGTCTGAGGTCCAGAAAGGAGGTAGAGTTTTTGTGAGCTGCTTATTCTAATCAGTGGTACCTGTGTGATAGTGGAAACTTCCTTCAAGACATCAAGCCTCTGAACCCTTAAGAGTTTATTTTGTCCTTGAAATTTGTGCTTATGTAAACTATCAGGTTTACAAGTTGCTGTCCTAGAAATGAGACTTTGTTTTAAGAGCATGAGTTTTAAGATCAAGAGTGAAGCATGGGTGAGCTATGATTGTACCACTGCATTCCAGCCTGTGCATCTCTCTCTCTCTTAAAAAAAGATGTATACATTTTCTGTGCCAGGTCATCTAAAGAAAATAACATTCCTGGGCTGGGAAAACAACAGGTACCTCAAAAGCACATGCATTCATCTGACTTTCTTATTCCTTTCTCTCTTCTCCTTATTACCAACTACTCATTCCCAATCCTAGTACTTACCAAGTTTTTGTTGATAACCTTGGTGGAAAGAAAAAATGAATTATTTTTGTATTGAAGGTGGTGGTCTAAAGTTTGCACACCACCCCCACCCTACTCCTTGGAAATCATCCATATGTGACAAGTATAATAAGAATAAAAAACACCATCTTCATTTTCTGTGAAACTGGAGGATATTTGGAAAAGTTGGCAAAAGTAGAAAAGAGGTGCACATGGGAAAAAATGAGAAAAGGATACTGTAGTTTCAAAGCTTAGCTGAGGAAGCCATGAAAGGATACTTTCTGAATGTGTGAAGCACTCCTTCACCTGAGTAATCTGTTTTGTGATTACAATAACAGGAGTTATGCAGGCAGGAATCGCCTTATCCCAGTTGTTTCTCGGATTCAGAGGAGTGGTGGCTAAGTATAATAATTACACAAAAAAGCCATATTTCCAGGATGAAATCTGACTCTGGCTGTGGGGGAAAATTCAGATTTTTTTTTTTTTACATGAAAGCCCTAACTGCTGACATTTCATTTTGCTTGGGTTAAAAAAAAAAGCCGGGCTCGGTGGCTCAGCCTGTAATCCCATGCCTTTGGGAGGCTGAGGTGAGTGGATTGCCTGAGCCCGCGGGTTCGAGACCTGCCTGGGCAGCGAGACCTCATCTCTACAATAAATCAAAAAATCAGCCGGGCGTGGTAGTGCATGCCTGTAATTCCAGCTACTTGGAAGGCTGAGGTGGAAGGATCGCCGGAGCCCAGCGGGTCGCGGCTGCAGTGGCCGGGAGCGGCCACTGCACTCCAGTCTGGGTGACAGAGTGAGACTCCAACTCAAAAAAAAAAAAAAAACAACAAAAACACACACACACACACACACACACACAAACTCTGTGATAGCCTGTAATATATCCCTGGACATTTTTTTCACATAAATATCTTAAAAATAACTACTTTAGGAAGAAAATCTGCTCCAAAGGTAAATAATTAAAATGTACAAACACAGCCTCTATAAGCAAAAATATTACAAGAACAAAAGGAGAAAGAAAAACATTCTAAGTAAGGGAACTTTGCCAAATAATTGTCAGCATAGAGCAGACAAGAATGTAAATTAGTACAGCCTCTATGGAGAACAGCATGGAGACTTTTCAAATAACTAAAAGTAGAATTACCATTTGATCCAGAAATCCCACTACTTGGTATCTACCTAAAGGAAAAGAAATCATTATATAAAAAAGATACCTACAGTTGTATGCTTTTTGAAGCACTACATAATAGCAAAGATATAGAATCGATGTAAGTGCCCATAAATGAATGATTGGATTATAAAAGTGTTATATACACACAATGGAATACTATTTAGCCATAAGAAGAACTTTTGTTTTATGTCTTTTCAAGCAACATGGATAGAACTGGAGACCATTATCTTAGGTGAAATTGGTCAGATACAGAAAGACAAACACTGCATGTTTCACTTACCAGTGGGAGCTAAATAATGTGCACACATGAACTCAGAGTGTGGAATGATCCACAGTGAGGGATTGGGAGGGGGAGGGGAATGAGGAATTACTTAGTGAGTACCACTACATTATTCCAGGGATGAATACCCTAAAAGCCTGACTTCACCATTATGCAATGTATCCATGTAACAGTTATACATGTATGCTACACATTTGTTTAAAAAAAACCATAAAGCAGATGAAAATTGTGACATTATCCACCTTGAATCAAAATTTGTAAGGAGGTGGCCAGGAGTGGTTAGCTCACACCTGTAATCCCAGCGCTTTGGGAGGTCAAGGTGGGAGGATTGCTTGAACTCAGGGGTTTGAAACCAGCCTAGGAAATATAGTAAGACTTCGACTCTACAAAAAATAAAAAACTTTGCTGGTCATGGTGGTGTGCGCCTGTATTCCCAGTTACTTGAGACACTGAGAATGAAGGATTGCCTGAGCCCAGGTGGTCAAGGTTGTGGTGAGCCATGATCATGCCACTGCACTCCAACTTGGATGACAGAGCGAGATCCTAGCTCAAAAAAAAAAAAAAAAAAAAATGAAGTACTTGCCTTTTTATCTTATTTTTTTATTTTTTATTTTTTTGAGTTGGAGTCTCACTCTGTTGCCCAGACTGGAGAGCAGTGGCTGCTCCTGGCCACTGCAGCCTTGACCTGCTGGGCTCCAGCGATCCTTCCGCCTTCAGCCTTCCAAGGAGCTGGAACTACAGGCACGCACTACCACACTTGGCTAATTTTTTGATTTTATTGTAGAGATGAGGTCTCGCCAAGTTGCTCAGGTGGGTCTCAAACCCACGAGCTCAGGCAATCCACTCACCTCAGCCTCCCAAAGTGTGGGATTACAGGTTGAGCCACCGAGCCCAACTAGTACTTGCCTTTTTAAAGCAAGAGGTAAGAGCAGAGAAGGAAGGCCTCAGAGAAGAGAGGTCTTGGATATTATGCATTAGAAAAACTCAGTAAATAAATGGATGGAAAAAAATTGCAGCAAGGAAGGCAAAATTTACGGAGGTCATATGAAGAGTGGACCCTGTTTAAAACACAGTTTAAAAGACAATGAGAATTTTAAAAATGTACAAAATTAAATTAACATAAAGAGGTAAAAAAAGAATCATAGGAAAAAGAAATATGGGAGTTGGGCAAAGAAGAGTCAAAATATGCATAATTGGAGTCTTCAATGAAGAAAACTAATAAAGAGAGAAAATATTAAAAGATGAATTTCACGACATATTTTCTAAAATAAAAAAGTTGAGTTTACATACTTTAAAGGAAAGCTACGCATGGGTGGGTGGAAGAAATCACCAAGAATAATAGTATAGTTACTAAACTTTGAAATGTAAAGGAATCCATTGGACAGCAACAGAAATGGCTGCAGCCTTTATGCATTGAAATGTGGCAATATCTTCAAAATTATTACAAATTTGACCCAACACCATAGTAGTGACAACATCATAGTAGCAAAAGATTGAAAAAAAAAGTTCATCACTTGGAGACTTGTTAAGGTAAGAACACATTCATGAAATGGAATGCTATTGTAAAGTAAAAAAGAATGGTAAAGCTCTTTATGTACTTGTATAGAATCTCTCAAATGTTTTAAGTAAAACAAAACAAAACAACAATGTAAGAGTTAATGTAGGCCAGGTACGGTGGCATAAATCTATAATCCCAGCACTTTGGGAGGTTGAGGCAAGAGGATTGCCTAAGCCCACAGTTTGAGACCAGCCTGGGCAACATGGTGAGACCTTGTCTCTACAATAAATAAAAAATTTAGCTGGGCATGGTAGCATGCACCTGTAGTTTCAGCTACTTGGAAGACTGAGGCAGAAGGATTGCCTGAGCCCAGCAGGCCGAGGCTGCGGTGGCCGGAAGCGTGCCACTGCACTCCAGCCTGAGCGACAGAGACTCCAACTCAAAAAAAAAAAAAAAAAAAAAAAAAAGAAAAGAGTTAATGGTCTGAGTGAAAAGGGAAAACAGATTACAGATTGTGTGCATTTGCCTGTTTATGCATAATGTATCTTTAGAAGAGCCAGGAGACACTGAGATTTTATCTAAGAACTTGAGCCAGGTGTGGTGACTCATGCCTGTAATCCCAACACTTTGGGAGACCAAGGCGGCAGGATTGCTTAAGCCCAGGAGTTTGAGGCCAGCCTAGGCAACATAGTGAGATCTCATATCTACAAAAAAATAAAAAAATTCGCTGGGCTTGGTGGCAAGCCCCTAAAGACCTAGCTATTTGGGAGGCTGAGGCAGGAGAATTGCTTGAACTATAATGAGCTGTGATTGTGCCACTGTACTCACCCTGGGTGACAGAGTGAGACATTGACTCAAAACAAGCGAGCAAGCAAACAAACACAACAAAAACTTGAGCACTGGGATACATGGGTTGAATTTTGAACCATGTGGTATTTTCTCTCTTCAAAAATTTAAATAAAAGAAACTTTCACAGTGCATTTTACAGCAAAGTGACAGGAGGGAACACATTGCCTTGGGATGCTGGAATTTCTCTGATTTCCATAAGGCCTGGCCATTTAGCCTAAATACCCATAGTTCTCATTCTGGTTTCTATGTGGATCCCCATTACCTGAGGTCACCTGGGTGGATTCCAGTTCCTAGTGATTCCCCCCAAAAGCAACTACATCACCAGCCAAAGGAAAATAGCACGGCCATGGATGGTACTGCTCATGGGTCCCCTCCAACCTTTCTCAGCATAGCCCTTTGTTCCTGGTGCCCGAAGCTCCAAACATCCCTATCTTCAAGGATCTTCCCAGGTCTCTCACCTGCACATCAGAGTAGGCCATGAGGACCGCAAAGCTGCTGAGGTGGGTGCAGTGGCAGGTGGTGCTGCTGTCTCTGGTGTCCACCATCCTGCAGCCTGTGGTGGCCCAATGACCACATCCATTCTGGCCATGCTCCCAGAAGACACAGAACACTTTTTGCCTTGGCCCAGGGATCACTGGCTATAGAAATAGGGCACAGGTGTGAGCTGGTGGTTCTAGTCCTCAGAGAGGCTGACCCAAAACTGGCTCAGGGAGGGCTGACTTTTTGGGGAGACGGTGCCCCCCAGTGTAGCTCCCCTGGACCCCAAGGCTGAGCAAGAAAGCTGTGCCCAGGACTCAGGCCCTTTCCCCACCCATGACTCCACCCCACCAGCACTCACACGGTGGGAGAAGGTGAAGGTGACTGGGATACTGAGGTTTTGGGTGTTCTTGTTGCTCAGAAAGGCAGAGTTGACATCTGAGAGCAGCAAGCCCTTGTGTATTTCATGTGGAGCTGCCTGCTTCTCAGGCTCCAGAAGCAGGGGGGCCTCAGCCAGCAACTTACCCATCCCTGGAGTGGACACAAGGCCCACCACAGAAGGGCCTATGGGACAAGACAAGTTGAATCTTGGAATAGGTTGGATCTTGGGGTCCCCACCAGAATTCCTTCCCTCACAGAAATTTTATGGACTATCCCCTTTTGGCCACACCGATCCCCCACTTTCCTTTAATCTTTAATGTGCTGTGTGCCACATCTCTCTTTGGTTATCTTGTCCCATCCGCAGGAGTCAGCGGCCTTTCCCTAATCTATCTCAGTCATTACCCAAGTCATCAGATGCCTGGGACACAGCCCAGTTGAGCTGCATCTTTGCGTAACTCTGGTCCAAGATGACATTCCCGATTCCTTTCTCTTGCACCTCCAGGGACAGTTCTGTAGCAGTCACAATGTCACAAGAGATGGGAGAAGTTTTAGGTTATTGCCTTGTGAGACTGGGATTGGATTTTTCAGTATACTGGTAAACCACAAGAATTTTAAGTATTGAAATAAAAGCAGTGTGGCTGATTCAATAACATTGTTTGAGCAATTTTAAAAACTGGAAACCAAAGTGTGTCCAAAAATTGCACTTACTTAAAAAAAGCACATTCTATTAAATCTGCACAATCTCAAGAAAAGGAAGAAAATGTTAATGGATGAGGCAAGGCTTCTGTTGCAATGACAATTAATACCCTAGTTCAAAAGTTTTCAAAATTATCATATGTAAACTCTGTTGCTAAGTCTAATGTAGGCATCTGTAATCCAAAATCTGGGAAGTTGGCTGTAGTTAACAAAAACATATTACATAGTTTCAAATAGCTAGAAGGAGGATATTGAATGTTCCCAACACAAAGAAAGGATAAATGTTTGTGATAATGGATATGCTAATTATCCTGATCAGATCACTATATACTATATGTATCAAAGCATCACTATGTATCCCATAAATATGTAAAATTATTAGACATACATTAAAAAATTAATTAAATAAATAAACCACGATGTCTGAGGAGGGTCTAATAGATCTAATATATAAAGATTTCTTACAACTCAATAATAAGACAAACAACTCAATTTAAAAACAGGTGGGAGGGACACAATATCAATAAGGGTACATGATCTCAAACCAGGCAAAGTGGGGACCAAAGGGAGGCCCAAACTTTACCTGTACATTGATCACTTATATACCTAATCCTGAATTGTACTCCACATCTTTAAAATAAAATAAAATAAAATAAATAAAAAGGAAATTATTTGTTTATCTGAAATTCTAATTTAAAAACAAAAAAAAGGTGAATGATTTGAATAGACATTCTTCCAAAGAAAATAAAATGCCAATAAACACATGGAAAGATCTTTAATATCATTAAAGATCCTTTAGGCAAGTAAAATTTAAAAGCATAATGAGATACCACTTCACATTCACAATGACTATAATGAAGCGGTGGAAATTAACAAGTGTCAGCAATACTGTGGAGGAATTGGAACCCTTATATTTTGCTGATTGGAATGAAAATGGTGCAGTTACTTTAGAAAACAGCTTGGCAATTCCTCAAAATGTTAGAGCTACTGTATGACCCAGGAACTCCACTCTCTGGTATTCACCCCCCAAAATGAAAACATATGCCCACACAGCGAGTTGTATATGAACATTAATTGCTGAATTATTCATAATACCCTGAAAAGCAAAAACAACCCAAGTGCCTACTGATTGATGAAGAGATAAATTGTGTATCATCATATAACTGCATTTGGCCATAAAAAAGAATGAAGTCCTGATACAAGCTGCAATATAGATGAACCTCAAAACGATGATGCTGGGAAGGGCTGGAGGGACAAAAAAATCATCTGTTGGGTACAATGTGCACAGGTGGGATTAGAGCCCATACTTCACTACTATACAATGAAATCATGTAACCTAAAACTATTTGTAACCCCTAAAGCTATTGAAATGAAAAAAACAAAACAAAAGAAAAGATGATGCTACGTGAAATAAGTCCACATAGTGGCCAGGCACAGTGGCTCAGCCTGTAATCCAGCACTTTGGAAGACTGAGACGAGAGGATTGCCTGAAGCTGGGGGTTCGAGACCTGGCTGGGCAACTTGGTGAGACCTCGTCTCTACAATAAATCACAAAAAGCTAGCTGGGTATGGTGGCATGCATCTGTAGTTCTGGCTACTTGGAGGGCTGAGGTGAAAGGATCACCAGAGTCCAGCAGGTCGAGGCTGCAGTGGCCATGAGGGTGCCATTGCACTCTAGCCTGGGCGACAGAGTGAGACTACAACTCAAAAAAAAAAAAAAAAAAAAAGACCACATAGTGTAGGCTTCCATTTACATAAAATGTCCAGAACAGGCAAATCCATAGAGACAGAAAACTGATTAGTGGTTGCCAGGGTCTGGGAGAGGCAAGTAGGCAGAGGTGACTGCTAATGGGGATGGGGTTTCTTTTTGGAGTGACAAAAATGTTCTAAAATTAGCTAGTGGTGATAGCTACGTAAGTCTGTGAATATACTAAAAACCATTAAATTATACACTTTAAATAGGCAAAAATTATGGCATGTAAATAATGTCTCAATAATGCTGTTGGAAAAAGCACCAGATCAAGGCAAATCCGGCTGGTAATGACCATTTACATATCATGAAGTTTCAAAGAAAGCATTTCAAGACTTTTTAAAAAACAAAAATAGAACTAAAGCAATTGCACTTTTCTCAAAATGCGTGCAAAAAAAACCTCCAAAAAGATAGCAAAGCATTAATCAGCAGATTATTTGAGGATGGAAGAATCAGAGGAAATTATCTGTGGGAGGTTTTTCTTATTTCTTCTCCATCTCCCTGGGTAGTGTAGATGCTGGAAGAGCTGGGGAAATTGCACAGAAATAAACATGTGTTTCTATAGTGAACCAACTGATATATTTAAAAAATTTAATATAAATAAATGAATGAATGATTAAATAAATAAATACTTTTGTTTATTTTTTAGAGGCAGGGTCTTTCTCTGTCACCCAAGTGGGAGTGCAGTGGCATAATCATAGCTCACTGCAGCCTCGAACTTCTGGGCTCAAGACAGTCTCCTGCATCAGCTTCTTGAGCAGCTGTGACCACAAGCATGCTAATTAAAAAAAATTTTTTTTTGTAGAGATTTGGCTCACTGTGTTGCCCAGGCTGGTCTCGAACTCCTGACCTCAGGTGATTCTCCTAACTCGGCCTCTCAAAGTGCTGGGATTACAGGCATGAACCACCCACTCTCAGCCACAATACATCTTATTTATAAAAGTATACTGTCTTTATTTATGTATAATATATATATTTATATCTTCAATATATCTTATTGAAGATTGTTCTTAAAGTAGATCAAATGGTATTATACAATTTTTAATTTTTCAAGATTAATTGGATTCTTTTATTTTCTAAGCAGTGTTTAGTTTGTTTTTTTAATACTTCATTTTTATTAATATGATTTCTGGTATTTTTGCATTATAATTATAATGTATATTTATAACTGATATTTGTGTGTTTATTTTCACTTACCTCTTTTGGTTCATAAGATTTTGTACTAGATATCGAGCACCCATATGACCCCACAATCCCCGTACTGGGAATATACCCTGAAGAACTCAAATCACTCTATAAAAAAGATACCTGCACCCGTGTGTTTATTGCAGCATTGTTCACAATAGCAAGAACCTGGAACCAAAGATGCTGTCCATCAAAAGAGGATTGGATTAAAAAAATATGGTACATATACACAATGGAATACTATGCAAACATAAAAAAGAACAAAATCATGAATTTTGCAGCAACCTGGATGGAACTAGTTTATAATGCTGAGTGACCTCTCACAGAAACAAAGATCTGAGTATCACATGTTCTCACTCATAAATGGACCTTGAACATCTCGTGTAATACTATAAGAAAAGGATTGACAGTGGTGGGAAACTATGGGGGGCAGGGAGGGGAAGGGAGGTGGGACTAATGGTAGTGAATATCTGGGGACAGGAGGATACCCCTTATCAACAAGGTGCCTGAACGATGCATATTTGTATACCTAACCCTTAACCGTACCCCACAATTTAAAAAAATATGTTTTTAAAAAAAGATTTTGTACTTGACACAAATCAGGGATTTAGTTTTGCAGAGTTTTGTTTTATTATGTGAGTTCTCAATTCTTTTACATGAAGTCCTGAGATAGGTCACTTGGCTCTAATGGGGCAGTCTTCAGGAAGGGGGAGGGAGTAGGCAGTGAAAGGGTGGAGCAGGAGCCTGGGCCAACCCTGTGCTTATTACCTGTGCCTCCAGAATAATTGAAGGTCAGCAGCCCATCAGGAAGGGTCTTGCTCATGCCTCTCAGAACATCCTCCAGGCCATCAAGCAGGTGAGTGGCCACACAGTGCTGCTGTGAGTGGGGCAGGGTCTCCAGGTCTCTGGAGGTCTCCAGTAGCTCATCCACTGCCTGCATGAGACCCTGAGGGAGGGAGACACAGAACTAGTAGGCCATGGGCCAGAGAAACGGCATGAAGACCCTGACCACTCAGTCCCAAGACCCTAGAGACTGTTTGTCTGGGGGATACCAATGACACTGATTTAGGTTCCATGGATGGCTCTTGTTGCTTGGATCTCAGCCACTCAAAAATCAGTCTGGGTCATGAATGCCAAACCCAAAGTCCAGCACCAGCAATAGGAAAAGAACCATAAATTAGTGCACTTGGGTGTCTTGATCATTCATTTAAATTGACAAGTGTATTACATTTTGAAATATGTATACATGGTAGCCTGATTAAATCAAACTAATGAACATATTCATTACATCACATACTCTTTTTGTGTAATGAGAACACTTAAAATCTACTCTCTTAGCACATTTCAGTTATATAACATACTGATATTAACTGCAGTTCCCATGATGTATAATAGATCTCTTGAACTTATAACTTACCTGGATGTCTTTAAGAGTGTTGTTGGATACCTGAGTGCTCCAGCCTTCTCTGTCATGAGTGAGGGGCCTGCTATTAGAGTTCATTCCATGGGGTTTGTCTCCACCTCTACCAAAGTAACCAAGATCCCTATGTGATTCCCATGTCTAGCCCTATTCTTGGGTCTGACTTTACCTGGATGATGTTCTTGGCCAAGGCTGGTGTGAAGTTTTGGGAAAACTGCTGGACTTTGTCAAAGAAGTGTGAGAGGCTCTGGGAAGACAGGAGATGGGATGGGTCAGAGGGCCTGAGACAGGGACTTTGGGGGCAGAGGGAGGACACAAGATGTTGATGAGAGTCCCTTTCCTTCCTGGTCTTCTGTTTAGCCTTTCCTTACCTGGCTGTTGACTCCAGAAGGTGGTGTCCATGACGAGAAGGGGATCTCTGCAGGGAAAAGAGGCAGGAGCACCATCAATGTCTGGGTGTATGTCTGTGAATGTGTGTGTGCATGCATGCATATGTGTGCTTGTCTTTTGTGTGTGTGCATGCATGCATGTACATGTGTGATTATATGTATGTGTACTGATGTGCACCCTGTGGGCATGTGTGTCCACATGGGTCAATACATGCAGGTGTGTGCACATGTGTGTGAGTATGTGTGCGTGTGTGTGTGTGTGTGTGTGTTTATTGGGGCCATATACCTTCACAGACGGTGGAGATTAGGCCATTCAGATGCCTGGACTTGGCCACCCAGCCACGATGACAATGGCATTGGTAGCTCCCCATGACGTTGATGCAATGGGTAGAATTGTGGCATTGGTGTTGTCCAGAACTGCATTCATCCACATCTGGAGATATTAAAAAGAGGGTCATCCCCCATCCCAGCTCAGCCTTCCCCTCTATTCAGCACCCCAGCTTTACTACCTTCCATCATCTTCCTCAAGGTCAACCACTGGGGACTCCACTAGATCTGAAATGGATCTCCTCTGGCAATAGCACCCTGCACTCCCCAATCACCCTTGAGCAGGGGTTGGCCAACCACAGTCCATGGGCCAAACCCAGTTGCTGCCTGTTTCAGTATGGGCCATAAGCTAATAGCGGTTTTTATATTTTCTTTTCTTTCTTTCTTTTTTTTTGAGTTGGAATCTCACTCTGTCGCCCAGATTGGAGTGCAGTGGCCCGCTCCTGGCCACCACAGCCTTGACCTGCTGGGCTCCGGTGATGCTTCTGCCTCAGCCTTCCAAGTAGCCAGAACTACAGGCATGCGTTACCATGCCCAACTAATTTTTGATTTATTGTAGAGACAAGGTCTCGCCAAGTTGCCCAGGAGGGTCTTGAACCCGCACACTCAGGCAGTCCACTCGCCTCAGCCTCCCAAAGTGCTGGGATTACAGGCTGAGTCACTGAGCCTGGCCGGTTTTTATATTTCCAAATGGTCAAAAAAAAAAATCAAAGGAAGGACAGTATTTCCCGTCACATGAAAATTATATAAAATTCAAAGTTAATTAATTTTAAAATTGTGGCAAGTTATATATAGCATGCAATTTGCCATTTCTGTTATTTGGAAGTGTACAATTCAGTGGCATTCATTACATTCACAGTTACCACTATATATTTTCAAAATTTTTCATCACTCCAAACTGAAACTCTGTGCTAATTAAGAAATAACTCCCTGCTGGGTATTATGGCACACACCTGTAGTTCTAGCTTCTCAGGTGGCTGAGGCGGGAGAATCCCTTCAGCCCAGGAGTCTGAGGTTGCAGTGGACCATGATCACACCACAGTACTACAGCTTGGGTGACAGAGTGAGACCTGATCTTTAAAAAAAAAAAACCCAAATAAAATACCCCAAACTCCCATTGTCCCTCCCCTCCAGCCCCTGGGAACCTCTAATCTACTTTCTGTCTCTACAAATGTGCCTATTCTAGGTATTTCAAATGAGTGGAATCATATATTTGTTCTTTTGTGTCTGACTTACTTCACTTAGCATGATGCCCTTAAGATTCATCCTTGTTGTAGCACGTATCAGAACTTCATTTATTTTCATGGCTCGATAATACTCTATCATGAATATTATTCTATGAACATTCTGATATAAATATAGTATTTATCAATTTTTCTGTTGGTGGACACTGGTTTTTCCCCCAGTTTTTGGTTATTGTGATTAATGCTTCTATGAACATTGGTATATAGGCATCTGTTTGAGTTCCTGTTTTCTTCTTCATATTATTATTATTTTTATTATTTAATTTTAGATTCAGGGCTTGTGAGTGCATGTTTGTTATGTGGGCATATGATGTACTGTTGGGAATTGGGCTTCTGGCATCCCTATTCCCAAAATAGTGAACATTGTACCTGGTAGATAATTTTTAAACCTTCATTCCACTGTGTCATCCTTCTCACTTTCGGTGTCCCCAGTGTCCATTAGTTCTATCCTTATGTCCACGAGTACCCATTGTTTAGTGGTATTTGGTGAGAACATGCAGTATTTGGTTTTCTGTCTCTGAGTTAGTTCACTTAGAATGATTGCCTCCAGCTCCATCTGTGCTGCTGCAAAAGACATACTTTTGTTCTTTTTTTATGACTGCATATTTTCTTTATTCAGTCCACCATTGATGGACACTTAGGTTGGTTCCATGACTTTGCTATTGTAAATAGTGCTGTAATAAACATATGAGTGCTGGTGTCTTTTGATAGAATGATTCTTTTCTTTTAGGTAGATACACAGCAGTCGGATTGCTGGATCAAATTGTAGCTCTATTTTTAGTTCTTTGTGAAAGTTCCATACTGTTTTCCATAGAGGTTGAACTAATTTACATTCCTAACAGTGTATGAGTTGCTTTGCTCTGAATCCATGCCATGAGTTCCTTTTCTCAGTTCTTTGGGGGTGTATATCTTAATAGATGGCATCACTGGGTCATATTGTAATTCTGTGTTTAACTTTTTTGAGGAACTGCCAAGTTGTTTCCTACTGTGGCCCTACCATTTTGCATTCCCAGTGGTAATGTATTAAGGATTCCAATTTCTGTTCATCCTCACAACATTGTTATTTTCCTTAAAACATTTTTAAAAATGGACACACAACTAATTATCAGAGAAATGCAAATAAAACCCACAATGAGGTATGACATCATACCAGCCAGAATGGCTGTTGCTAAAATGTCAAAAAACGTGTTGGTGAGGCTGCAGAGAAAAGGGAGTGCTTGTATACTCTTGGTGGGAATATAAGCTAGTTCAACCTTTGTGGAAAGCAGTTTGGAGATTTCTCAAAGAACTAAAAATATTTCTGCCATTTGACTCAGCAATCCCCCTTCTAGTAATATACTCAAAGAAACACAAATTGTGCTACCAAAAAGACACCTGCATGTGTGTGTTTACTGCAGCACAGATCACAATAGTAAAAACATGGAACCAGATGCTCATCAAAGGCGCACTGGATAAAGAAAAGGTGGTACATATACACTATAGAATACTATACAGTCATAAAAAACAAAATCATGGCTTTTGCAGCAACATAAATGCAACTGGAGGCCATCGTTCTAGGTGGATTATCATAGAAACAGAAAACTGAATAATGCATGTTCTCACTCATAAGCGAGCACTAAACAGTGGGCACACACAGGCACAAGGACGGAAACAATAGACACCGGACACTGCTCATTGGGTACCATTTCCACTACTGGGATCGGGGAAGAGGGCTCGTTACAAGTCCAAACTTTGCCTTCACACAATAAATTTTTGTAAGAAATCCTCACATGTACCCCATGATTATAAAATAAAAACAAAATAAAAAACTGATAATAATAATTGCAAATATTAGCCGGGCTCAGTGGCTCAGCCTGTAATCCTGCGCCTTTGGGAGGCTGAGGTGAATGAATTGCCTGAGCCCGCGGGTTCGAGACCAGCCTGGGCAGCAAGACCTCGTTTCTACAGTAAATCAAAAAATCAGCCGGGCGTGGTAGCACATGCCTGTAATTCTGGCTACTCGGAAGGCTGAGGTGGAAGGATCGCCGGAGCCCAGCAGGTCGAGGCTGTGGTGGCTGGAAGTGGCCGCTGCACTCCAGTCTGGGCGACAGAGTGAGACTCCAATTCAAAAAAAAAAAAAATTGCAAATATTCATGGGGCACATAGTCATGTTTCCATATACACAATGTAAAGTAATCACATCAGGGTAATTTGCATACCCATTATCTCAAACACTTATCATTTCTTTGTGTTGGGAATGTTCAGTATCTTCTTTCCTCTTAGGTATTTGAAACTCTATATATTATTAACTGATTACTTTCCCTTTAAAAATTATATTCATTTTAGTAGATATGAAGTAATAACTCATTGTGGTTTTGATTTGCAATTAAGTTCAAATTTCAGTATGCGTAAAACAATGATTTCTGAAGCACAGCTACAGCTCTTTATGTATGTGTTGTCTTTAACTGCTTTCACACTAAAATGGGCAGAATTGAGCAATTGTGATAGAGACAATCTAGCCTATGAAGTGGAAGATATTTACTACCTGACCCTTCACAGAAGGAGTTTGCTGACCATCATGTTCAAGCAAGGTGGAAAAAGCAAGACCTATGTTAGTAAATGTGTATGAGAGTGTGTGTGTGAGTGTGTGTATGAGTGTGTGAATGTGTGTGTGTGAGTACGTGTGAGTGTATGAGTATGTAAGTGTGAGAGAGAGTGTGTGTGTGTGTGTGTGCGCGTGCGTGTGTGTGCATGCGAATGTGTGTGTGTGTGTGTCCACTTTCTTAGGTCAGAGCTGCTTGGTGAATGGTGGAAATGATAGAATAATGCTCCCCCTCATGTCTAAATTCGAATCCCTAGAACCTGGACCTTTCATTCAAACAAAATTTTGCAGATGTGATTAAGTTAAAGATCTTGAGATGGGGGATTATCAGGGGTGGGTCTGATGTAATCACAATAGTCCTTATAAGATGGAGGGAGGAGGTCAGATAGGAAAGGAAACGATAGGCTCCTGTGCTTGAAAGTGGAGAGAGGGACTGGAATGAAAGCACACAGGCAGCCTTTAGAAGCTAGAGGAGGCAAGGAAACAGATTCTCTGTCAGAGCCTCTAGAGAAGAAAGCATTTAGATTCAGGGGGTACACACATATGTTCATTACATGAACATGTTGGGTGGTGGTAGAGATTGGGTCTCAGGTGATTCTTTCCTCAGAGAGTGAAAAAAAAAAAAAGAAAAAAAAAAAGAGAAAGAAACAGACTTAAGGACACAAATTAGCTTACAACAAGATAAAATTGGGGAAAGATAGAATGTTATAAAATAGTATTCTTGTTTTGTGACTCATATCACAGCAAAATAATTTGTAATTGATTAAAGGGTAAATGTCAACATGTAAAAACAAAAAGGAAGGAAGCATTTAAAAACCTCTCCTACAAAACTATAGCCTCTCTGCATTATTATTATTGTTATTATTATTGAGTCAGAGTCTCACTCTGTCACCCAGGTTGGAGTGCAGTGGCACGACCATTTACTGCAGCCTCCAGCTCCTGGTCTCATGTGACCTTCTGTCTTAGCTCAGTAGCTTCTGCCGAGTAGCTGGGACTACAGGCATGCACTACCATGCCAGACTAATTTCTGAATTTTTGTAGTGATGAGGTCTTTATATTGCCCAGGATGGTCTCAAACTCTTGGGCTCAAGCAATCCTCCTGCCTCTGCCTTCCAAAGTACTGGGATTACAGGCATGAGCCACCATGCCTGGCTGTTTGTATTCTTTTAAAATTACTATGCTTGTGGTAATTCATTCTATCTGCAATAGGATGCTAATGCAATGGTCCATTCAGAAATCTGAGAATTGCTTTTCTCCAAGTGACATTGGTCCCAGCCCTTGGTGTTGCTGCAGGAGTTCGATGTGTAACGAGGACCTATGCACCTCCCAGCCCCAGCACCCGCCCCCTGGCTAATGCTTTTCTTAACATCCTGGGATTTCAGCTGCTGCTCCATCCTACAGGGCTTGGGGTCACATAGCTGTCAGTGTTGCCCACAGAGTGTGTGGTGGGTGATAGGGTCTTTTCCAAATGCTGCACCCAGAGAGTGCCTGTTCTGACCCCAGTATATCTCCGGAACCCTGCTATCTCCCCACCCAGAGGAAGTTTCTTCTTCTCAGAGCAGTTTGCAGATGAGAAATGAGGAAGCCACATGATTACATCACAGTGTTGAATATATGTGGGTGTCTTCCATTCTATTTAGCTCCAACTTATCTTTCTCTCTTTTTTAATTCGGAGTGAAAAGCTGACAAATTGGGTCTTCTTTGGTTAACTCAGAGACCTGTGGAGAAGAGTTCAGATGGTGCTACAGCTTGTTCTATCTCTAACCTAGATGGTGGCACAGCAAAAGTCACTTTTAATTTGAGATGTTTTCCTTTAGGAATGATGATTAGCCTATATACAGCCTAATACTCCCAGTAAAATTGATGTTTAATTTCTCATTTAGCTCTATAATCACTCCCAAACTGGAAACAACCCAAATTCCTTCAGTGAGTGAAGGGACAAAAAACTGGTACATCCATATGGTGAAATACTACTCAGCAATAAAAAGGAATGATATTGAAACCAGCTATAATATAAACATTATAGTGAGTGGAAGAAGCCTAACTTAGAAGGTTACATATTGTATCATTCCATTGACATTGATTCTCAAAAGACAATACTATAAGAAGGAAATCAGATTAGTAGTTACAAGGGAGGAAGGAGTGAGGTGGTTATAAAGGGACAGGATGAGGGAGTGTTTTAAAATAATGGAACTAATTACTCTCTATCTTGATTATAGTGGTGGTAGCCCAAATCTGTACATATGTTAAATTCACAGAACCTGCCACCCAAAAGGGAAAATGTCAATAAAAAGCCCTGAAACTTATCACTGCATAGATGTATGATATGTTGAACTATTCTCTAATAGTGACATTTTTTTCTAGGATAGTCTGCTTATTTTGTTATTTTAAAAAATTACTTTAGATTCAGAGGATACACATGTGTATTTGTTGCATGGACATATTGTGTAGTGGTGGGGATTGGGTCTCAGGTGGCCCATTCCCCAGATAGTGAACATTGTGACCTGTAGGTAGTTTCTGAACTGTAGCCTCCCTCCCCCCTTACTAGTGTCCTCAGTGTCTACTACTTCCATCTTTAGTTGCATACCATGTTGCATTAAAGAACTTTCTCAAGATGCCCAACATGGTGTTTTAAAGTCTGAGCAAGAGCAGGAGACAGGAGGAATCAGCTCCTCATAGACTCAGGGTGCTCCCTCCTGGGCTCTCAGACCTGGTGGTATTGGCCACAAGACAGTCTTCAAGGTTGACAAGATGAGGTTAGGAATGAGAGTATTGTGGAAGTGAGGTGGGGAAAGGATACATGGATGGGAAACGACTTACCTTGGCAAGTATTCTCCTTCTCACTTTTGAATTTTGTGCCCCCTGAAAGGAGTTTGTACCCAGAGCTGCACTTGCAGTAGTGGCTTCCTTCCACATTGTGACAATCTGCATGCCTTCCGCAAGAAATGTAGGAAGGTGGGCCACACTCGTCAATATCTGGAACACAAATGGGAGATGCTAGGAACCTCCAAATTTATGATCAGGATTAGTAACAACAAAATTGAAATAATTATCCCCTTACATTTTCTTCCTAAACAAAATAACTTGTGTTTACAGGAGAAAACTGGCAAGGCAGCAAATGCAAACAAAGAACATGTTAAAAAATCCTACCACAGAGACCACAACAATTTTTTAGAGAAAATTGTGTGATAAACCCACATGACCTATCACCTAGCTTTGCCAATGTCAAAGACGCCATTCCTTTTTCATCTCTTCCCCACGGAGTCAGATCATAACCCTTAACCTTCTGATATGTACAAATTATTCCAGGACTTTAAAATATTTTGAAAATACACTTCTGTGTAGAAATAACATTAATGCCTGTAGAATATTCCATAGTAGAAATCCTTCATTGTTTCATCCACCTCAAGTTCAAGTACAGGAATCAGAAGTCTATAGTTTGAGAAATAGATCCAGGTTCTCTGTTCCTTCTGTGTGATCTTTGGCAAATCACATCACCTCTCCAGGACTCAGGTATGTTTGTTTGTTTATTTGGAGTTGGGGAGTCTTACTCTGTTACCTAGGCTGGTGTGCAGCAGCACAATCATGGCTCATAGCCTCAAACTCCTGAGCTCTGGTGATCCTTCCACCTCAGTTTTGGTAGCTGTGCCACCATGCCACATACCACCATGCCTGTCTAATTTTTTGATCTTTTTTTGGTCTATATTGCCCAGGCTGGTCTCGAACTCCTGGGCTCAAGCAATTATCCCATCCCAGTCTCCCTAAGTGCTGGGATTATAGGTATGAGCCACCCAACCTGGCCCGGTTTTTTCGTTTATAATATGGCACAAGCACTGCCTTTCTCAAGAGGTGATTCTGAACCTATCAGAGAACAGTGTTTGAGAACTTTGTGAACTACAAATTAGCCCTCTGAATTTCAGCCATATGACCAGCTTTCGGAGTCTGAGCAAGCTGTCTTACTCCCCAAAGTTTCAGCTTGCTTATCTATAAATCAGGGATAATAATAGCAGCTACTTATTCAGTTATTATGTGATTTAAATTAATTTCAGAAATGCTGTTTTATAAATGGTCATCCTGGCATGAGGTTACACGCTGTTATTTTCAGATGGAGGTACTGAGATCTGGCTTAAAGGGAGATCCTTGCAAGCTAGCACTAGAGGTAGGAGAACATTCAGAATCTCTGATCACTGTATGGTCCTCTCTTCCTCCTCCTTGGCCATGCTGCTTCTGTCTTCCATCAATTAGCAAACAACAATAATGCATTGGCTTCTTTTAAGTGCAAGGCATTATTCTAGGCATTTTACATGTGTTAATTTATCATTTGTATATATCTTTCTCATTAGTTTTTTATTTTGTAACATGTGATGGTTTTTCATAAGAACATGTATTTGTGTTAACATGCAATAGGTTTATTATTACCATTTTAAGTGAATTAGTATATATTCTTTTAAATTCTTTACACATTGATTACGGACACATAATAATTGGGTACAACATGATGCTTTGGTACAAGGATTGAGAATTTACATAACAAAATCGATTATTTTAAGGCAACCAATTTAGTGGTATTTAGCACATTCACAATTTTGGGCAACTACTGCCTCTCTCTAGTTCCAAAACATTTTTATCACCTGAAAGAAAACCACTTACCTATTAAATAGTCAGTCCCCATTACCTCCTCCCCAGCATCTGACAACCGCCAATTTGCTTTCGGACTTTATGGATTCCATTAAAAAATTTTTTTAATTATTCTTTAAAAATATTTTTTATTTTAAAGTTGCAAGGTACAATTCAGGGCTAGGTATACAAATGTTCATTATGCAGCTGCCCTTGTTGATGAGGTGTATCCCCCTTCCCATGGCAGTTTTCCCCTACTGCCAATCCCTTTCGTATAGTATTATAATTGTTCAAGTTCCAATTATGAGTGAGAACATGAGGTACTCAGTTTTTTGTTTTTGTGATAAATCACTGAGTATGATAGACTCTAAATCCATCCAAGTTGTTGCAAAGTCCATATGTTTTCCCTTCTTTATGGCTGCATAATATTCCATTGTGTATACGTACCACATTTTTTCATATGGATTCTATTTTTATATGTTATTTATTTAAATCACCTAATCACTATGTGAGTAGATACTAAGTATTATCCCCAATTTATAGAAAAGGAAATTGAGACTCTAGAAGATGAAACAATTGTTGGGCTTACACAGCTGGGAAATACACAGCTGGGGTTCAGATACTTGGTTCCTAACATCACGTTCATTTTTTTAAAAAGTGGGTTTCGCTCTGTCACCCAGGCTGGAGTGCAGTGGTGCGATCATAGCTCATTGCAGCCTCGATCTCTTGGGAGCCACCATGTCCCGCTCAAATATTGACCTCTTAACACCATACCTTTGAACATGGGACCTAATTGCCCTGTGTCTTGGCTCCTTATTCCACTTAACGCCTTAATTTCCATGACTTCTTACTCCCTTAGCAGAGTTTTGATGCTGCTCCAAGGGCTGAGAGTCCTGAATGCCCCATTATTTTTGATGTCTCCCTTCTCCAATCCTCCAGTCTTTTTACCTGTACAGACTTCTGAGGGGTTGCTAAAGATGGCCTCTCCAGACAAAGAAGCAAATCCAGGATCACAGAGGCAGGCAGTGGCATTGACACAGTGGGCGTTCCGTGGGCACCGGGCACAGGACACTGTGGGGATTGAGTTTCAGAGTTTGAAGACCCTTGCCAGGTTGGGAATAAAGGGATGAAGGAGAGGAGAGGGAAGAGAGGCCTGCCTTCCTGCAAGGAAAGGTCCTTGACAGTAGGATGAAAGTTTGGGCAAGATGCAAGACCAATTTCTCAAAGCCTAGGAAGACTATATTTGGAAGTTACTCCTCAAAATAAGCCCTTGCTAGTTTGAAGTTTCTTTCCCCAGCTTCAGAACGGATGGGCTTTGTTAGAACATACTCACTTCCAGCCTTCTGGGCAACAGTTCCCAATGATATTAGCAGGACACAGAGCGCTGGAACAAGAGAGAGGGCAGGTGAATATGGCTGAGGAATGAGCTTCAAGGCATCTGTGCATATAGCACTTACCACCTGTTAAGTGGCCTGTCCCTGTATCTTCTAGCAGCAGAGAGGCTCCGCGGGACCTTGGGGAACAATGCTTTTCCTTTGATCTTCCAGAAGTCTCATGGAGAATTGATAACAGCAAGGGGAATGGAGCTCAAAATCTATACTTACAGAAAGTAACATATATACATACTAGAACACCTATTCCCATCCATTTTGGGAGATACAGCTTAAGAAGAGACTCCTTGGATCTGACTGCCTTTATCCATATCTTCATATTAGTTCTTTATGTTCAGGATCTTTTTCCATTTGGAATGGTTTAAGTTCATTTTCATCTCCAGGCTGAACTGAGATTACACCACCGGTATTGGAGTTGAACACAACTAAATTAGAATCTTAGCTCTGCTGCTCCCTGGTGCTATGACTCTGTGAAATCAGATATTTCCTTTTTACTGTTTAACAGAAAATTCCAACCACACTGAAAAGTAGAAAAACAGTCAACGCCCTGTGTACCAGTCACTATGCTATAACAATTATAAACTTAGGGTCACTCTTCTTTTATCTATACCTCTACTCCTTCTCCTTCCCTCACAGGATTATTTGGAAGAAAATTCAATGCATCATATTTCTCAGGATATATTCTTGGAACAAAATATTTTTATGTATTAAGAACAGAAAAATTTATGGGTATTAAACCGAGTAATTCCAAAACGAACCCCTGGTTTTCCTCCTGGTTGTGAGCTCAAACCACTTCCTTCTTTGAGAAGTCAATAGAACTGAACAATGTCCTTTTTTTTTTTTTTTGGTTGTTATCATCCTTCTGAGGAACAGTGCAAGTGTAAGCTAGGAATCATGTAGAGAATAGAGAAATTTCTCAGAAGGGATAAATAACCCCAATTTAAAAAAATCTGTGTAAATGTATGAGATACAAGTGTAACTTTGTTATGTGCGTAGATTGCACAGTGGTGAAATCAGAACTTTTAGAATACTTATCACCTAAATAATGTACATTGTCCCCTTAAGTAATTCCTTCTTATCCACCCTATCTCATTCCCCATCCTTTCGAGTCTGCATTGTTCATCTTTCCACACTCTGTGTCCATGTGTATGCCTTGTTTAGCTCTCATTCATTAGTGAGAACATGTGGTATTCATCTTTCTGAGTTTGAGTAGCTTCACTTAAGATAATGCCTCCAGTTTCATCCATGTTGCTGCAGAAGACATGATTCCATTTTTTAAATAGCTGAATGGTATTCCATGGTGTATCCAATCCAATCATCTGTTGACAGACACTAAGATGAATTCCATATCTTTTGCTATTATTAATAGTGTTGTGATACACATATGAGTGCAGGTGTCTTTTTGATTAAAATGATTTAGTTTCCTTTGTATAGATACCCAGTATACTTTGTATCTATACAAAGTTCAGGAACTTTCTCCTTTGGAATTACTGGATCAAATGGTAATTCCATTTTTAATTAGTTGAGAAATCTCCAGATGGTTTCCATAGAGGTTTTATGAACTTACATTCCCACCAACAGTATACAAATGCTTCCTTTTCTCCACTTTCTCACTAGCACCTTTTTTTTTAAAAAAAAAATCTTTTTAGTAATAGCCATATGACTGGTATAAGACAATATCTCACTGTGGCTTTAATTTGCATTTCTCTGATGATTAGTGATGTTTAGCATTTTTCATATGTCTGTTGGCCATTTGTATGCCTTCTTTTGAAAAATGTCTATTTATGTCCTTTGCTTACTTTTTAATGTGATCATTTTGTTGTTGAGTTGTTTGAATTCCTTGTAAATTTTGGATATTAGTCTCCTGTCAGATACAGAGTTTGTGAATATTTGCTCCCATTTTCCAGGCTGTCTGTTCACTATGTTGATTATTACCATTATTATTTTTTGTTGTGCAGAAGCTTTGAAGTTTTAACCAGAGCACTAACACTAGAAATAAACGGTATTGAAATTGGAAAAAGGAAGTGAAATTATTTCTGTTCACTGATGATATAATCTTGTATATAAAAAACAATAAAGATGCCACCAAAAAGCACTTAGATTTTAAAAATGAATCCAGGACACCAAATCAGCTAAAACATGGGTAACATTTCTATACACCAAAAACCATCTAGCTGAGAATAAAATCAAGAAGGCAATCTGATTTACAATAGCTATAAAAATACCCTAGGAATATATTTAATCAAAGAAGTGAAAAAATGTCTACAAGGAGAATTATAAAATACCGATAAAAGAAATTATAGATGACACAAACAAACAGAAAAATATCCCATGCTCATGAATCAGAAGAATTAATATTGTTAAAATGACCATACTTCTCAAAGAAATCTACAGATTTAATGCAATTCCTATCAAATGACCATGCCATTTTTCATAGAACTGGAAAAAACAACCTTAACATTCATGTGGAACCAAGAAAAAGCCTGAATAGCCAAAATGACCCTGAGTAAAAGGAACAAAGTTGGAGCTATCACATAATCTGACTTCAAATTGTACCACAAAGCTATAGTAACCAAAACAGCATGCTACTGGTATAAAAATAGGCACATAGATCAATGGGACAGAATAAAGAATCCAGAAATAAATCCACATGTTTATAGCCAACTGGTTTTTGACAAAGCTGACAGAACATACACTAGGTAAAGAACACTCTTTTCAATGAAAATTGGATTGCCATATGCAGAAGAATGAAACCGAACTCCTCTCACCATCAACTCGAGATAAATTAAAGACTTAAATGCAAGACTAGAAACTATAAAAACACTAGAAGAAAACCTAACTAAAACTCTGTAGACATTATTCTAGGCAAAAAAATTCATGACGATGACCTCAAAAGGACAGGCAGCAAAAATAAAAATAGACAAATGGGACTTAATAATACCCAAATGATTTTAATAAAAATCCTCTTGCCTACCTGGAAGAAATGCGAAATACTTGCTTTTCATGGTGCAGCGACATGAATCTCCAGTGGCAGGAGAATTGAATCTCACACTGTGAGCCATTAACATTTTCTGTGTAAGTAAATCTTGTGTGCCCTGGAAGAGCTGACCTGGGGAACAGCTGATCTGAATGCTTTCTCCTTCTTTCCTCCTTCTTTCCTCGCCCAATTCAAGCTTATTAGATTTTCCTGTTCTGCTTTTTATTGTTTGCTCAGCATCATTACCATTTGTACTTCCCACCTCCTTGCTGGTATTTCTCAATTCCTAGTGATGAAAGAATGTGTGACAGTTACTCTATTTAGAGGGTCTTTCTGAAGTAGTAAATCTGCTGACCCCTGGCAAATACAGTCCATTACTGCTGAGTAACAGTAAGACTGATTACTTTTTATATACTGGGTCTTGAGCCATGTATTTTTGTTTGTTCCCATTTACTGTCGTGGTTCCAATCAGACAAGAATGTATTATGAGGTGGGAAGATCAGAGTCTGAAGTTACTGTTTTTATGATATCAGGCACATCCCTTAAGTTCTTGGTAAGCAGGAAATAATTATTCTCACCTGGTTGTTGGGGGATTCAATGAGATAAAACAGGTAAAACACCTGACAGTTACCTTGTCTACTGGAAATGCTTAACAAAAATTAGTATCTTTCATATGTTTTTTGGTGAAAAGTGATTAGTCATACAAATGTTAGTTATTCCCATTATTCTATCAACATTATGAAAGCCTTATATTCAATTGTGCTTTTAATTTTTTTAATCTCCTTAAATTTGTTCAGTTGTTTCCATATCATAATTCCAAGATAAATAGAGCAGGTATTGTTATCCCATCTGGGAGTCAGGAAACAGAGGCTCAAGTGATTTAAAAGTTTCATAGTTTATTTCTAAATTGACAAAGCATACTACTTACTTGATGGCTAAGAACAGTTCTTGTATTGTAACCTGTTTTAAAAATAAACTTTAATTCAATTGTAAGCTTTATTTGGAAATGTGTACATACCTGAAGCATACAAGATAATGAATTATCACACACTGAACATACCACATAATCAAAACTTCTGTGGAAAAAAAAAGAGCATTATCCAAGGAGCTCCTCCTAATCCCTCTCTTAACTCCTAGTCTAATTTTTCACGAGTTACCACTATCCTGATTTTCTAAACCCATAGATTAACTTTGCCTATTTTGAACTGTATGTAAATGAAAGCAAATAGGAGCCAGGCATGGTGGCTCCTGTCTGTAATCCCAGCATTTTTGGAGGTGGTGGCCAGAGGATTGCCTGAACCCAGGGGTTCGAGGCCAGTCTGGGCAACTTGGTGAGACCTCATCTCTACAATAAATCAAAAAATTAGCCGGGTGTGGTGGTATGTGCCTATAGTTCCAGCTACTTGGAAGGCTAAGGCAGAAGGCTCTCCTGTGCCCAGCAGGGCAAGGCTGTGGTGGCTGTGAGCATGCCACTGCACTCCAGCTTGGGTGACAGAATGAGACTCCAACTAAAAAAAAAAAAAAAAACTGGGCTCGGTGGCTCAGCCTATAATCCCACGCCTTTGGGAGGCTGAGGTGAGTGGATTGCCTGAGCCCACGGATTCAAGACCCACCTGGGCAGCGAGACCTCATCTCTACAATAAATAAAAAAAAAATCAGCCGGGTGTGGTAGTGCATGGCTGTAATTTCAGCTACTTGGAAGGCTGAGGCGGAAGGATTGCCAGAGCCCAGCAGGTCGAGGCTGCGGTGGCCAGGAGTGGCCACTGCACTCCAGTCTGGGTGACAGAGTGAGACTTCAACTCAAAAAAAAAAAAAAAGAAAAAGAAAGAAAGCAAATAGGGTGTTATTTTTGTGTCTTATTTGTTTTCCTCAATGTTATGCTTGTGAGGTTCACCCTTATGTTAATATGTAACTATCATTTTTTATTGCTGTATAGTATTTCATTGTATGAAAACATTATGTTTTATTTATTCATTTAACCTTTCATGGTTATTTAGATTGTTTCCAGTTTTTTTTGTTATTATGGATAAAACTGCATAAACAGTCTTCCACATATTTTGGTGCAATTATGCACTCACTTCTTTGGGATGTATAAGAATGAAATTACTGGGTTATAGGGTAGATGTTATTTTAGTAGACATTGGAGAAGGCAGTCAGATTGCATGAATACCTGTGTGTGTGAGTTAATGTGTAGAGGATTCTGCACATGTATCTGTGTGTAAATGGGCATGTGAGAGGTTGACTGAGTGGGGACTTGAGAGCAAGTAGCCATGGCTATCCCAGTGAAGTTGCTGGTGCTATAGCCACTGTGCTTGGACCTTAGCACTTCTCGGAGTACAAAAGCTGAGTGCCATTTTCTAAAATCAACAGAACTTTTCCCAGCAAGAAGCGTTGGAACAACTGGTGCTCCCACCACTGTGGTACTGGGCCAGACGCTGGCAGCATGGACCATGGAGGAAGCACAGTGAGGGAGCCAGAGGCAGAGCCCTGAGAAAGCAGTGAGCTACCCTGAGCCTGGACTTGCTGCCATTGCCTCCAGTGCCAGGTTGGGCAGCACGGTCCCACCATAGGAAGGGGAGATCCGGAGTCTGTGGTTTTTCTGGTTTTGATTTGTTTGTTTGTCTCATTTGTTTGTTTTGTTTGGTTGGTTGTTGGTTGTTTTTCTTTCTTTTCTCTCTCTTTGTTCTTTCTCTAAGGTTTTTTGTTTGGTGTGTTGGTTGGTTTTTCTTTTTGCTCTTTTTCTTCTCTCCCATTTCTCTCTCCTTTCCCCCTCTCTTTTCCCTCTTATATCCTGTCTTGGACTCAGGGCATATGCAAGCATACTCACTGTAAGTTTATATTGTGTGGAGATGGAGAGCAAGTTCCAACTGGCTCATTCACTAAATAGCAAGTATTGTGACCTGAAGATAGGTTCTGAATTCTTGTGGCCCCTCCCCTACTCCTTAGCAAGTACTCAAAATTGTAAAGAGCACAATGTTCCATGCCAGCCCTATTTCATGACTGAACAAACCAGGAGACCCGGTTCAGGGAAGGACAAAAGGTAGAGCAGATATCAGAAGTGATTGCTTCCCCATCTCCCACTGAGCAATGGAATTAAAGAGAAAGATAAGAACTTCTACAAATGAAGAAACACCAAAGAAAAATAACTAGAAACTTTCAGAGTTCCAGAGTCAGTGCCTGAAAAAACAGCTACTGGGGCACAAACAATGGCTCTCTCCGAGAACAACAGTACCCAGAAGGTACTTAAAGAGATCAGGTAATCGTTGGATAGAATGAATACAAATCAAGAAATGCAAGGGGTAAAATGAAATGAAATTATAATAGAGTTGGAAAGACTCAAGAAAGTGTATTTTAAAATAACAGAAATAAAGAACTTCATCCTAGAAATAACAAACTGACAAGAATGGGAAGCAGAATTGACCAAACAGAAGAAAGAATCTCAGAGCTGGAAGACAATAATATGGAATTAGTTTGATCTATTAAAAATATAGAAAAACAACTTAAGAAGAAAATCTCCAAGAGATGTGTAATTTTATCAAGAAATTAGACCTATCTCTGATTGGTATACCTGAAGTAGAAAAAGAAATGGAAAATACCTTGGAACAAACATTCCATGAGGTCATTCAAGAAAACTTTCCTCATTTTGCCAGAGAGATAACTATACAAGTGCAAGAGAGTCAGAGAACTTTAGAAAGACATCTTAAGAGAAGACCAACCTCTAGACACTTAATGATTTGCCTACACAAAGTAGGTATAAAAGAAAAAATCCTAAAGGCCACAGGGGAAAAAGGTCAGACTACCTGCTGGGGGAGACCAATCAGAATTGCTACAGACTTATCTGCAGAAGCACTACAGGACAGAAGGGATTGGACCCTGCTCTTTAATGTTCTTAAAGATAAATAATTTCAACCAAAAATTTCCTACCCAGTCAAGCTAAGCTTCATCAACAATTAAAATCCTTCCCAGACATTTAATCCCTAAGAGAATACGCTGCTTCCAAGACTAGCTGTACAGGAGACACTTAAAAAAGTGCTATGAACAGAAGAAACAAAAGGAAGACCATGTACTTCACAAGCTTGCAAACACAGAAATAGCAGAACACACAGCACACCTGCAAAAATGAAGACACACATATATTAACACAAAAGCTAAGTGAAATCAAAACACTCATAAGGGAATTATGACAGGAACAAGCTCACATTTCAATAACCAGCCTGAACGTGAATGGATTAAATGCATCACTGAAAGGACATAGACATGTGTCAACAATTGACTGTCTCCAGGAAACACATCTCACCACAAAGGACTCTCACAGACTTAAAGTTAGAGGATGGAAAACAAATTTTCAGGTGAATATATCATGAAAGAAAGCAGGAATCGCGATCTTAATATCAGACAAAACAGCCTTAAGAACAATTTAAAAAGATATGAAAGAATAATATATAATGATGCAAAATTCAATCCGTCAACAAGAAATATCCATCCTAAACACATATGCACCCAACACAGGAGCACCAGCTTTTATAAACCAACTACTAAGTAAACTAAAAAAAGATGTTGACTTTAATACTATCATAACTGGGGACTTAAATACCCCACTAACAACTGTAGATAGATCGAGGAAAAAAAATCAACAAAGAGATCCAGAACCTCAACTTGGTGCTTGACCAAATGGACTTAATAGATACCTACAGAACACTTCATCCAACAACTGCAGAATATATGCTGTATTCATCACCACATGGAATGTACTCCAAGATCCACCACATTTTTGGCCACAAATGAAGCATAAACAAATCTCACAAGATTGAAATATTGCCATGCACCTTCTCAGGCCACAGTGGAATAGAAATAAATATCACCACCAACAAAATTCCCCCCAAACTCACAAAGACATGGACATTAAACAGCATGATGCTGAACAATGCCTAGATTAACATAAAAATCAAAACAGAAATTAAAAGATTCCTGAAAACAAATGAAAATGAAGAAACATCTTACCAAAACCTCTGGGATGCCATACAAACAGTACTAAGAGGGGAACTCATATCTCTATGAACACACATCAAAAAAATGGAAAGATCACTAAAGGAGCTGGAAAGGCAAGATGATCAAAACCCTAATTTCAGCAGAAGAATTCAGATCACCAAAGTAAAAGCCCAAAATATGGGACAAAGAAGACAAAAATAACATAGAAAGAAATCAATGAAACGAAAAGCTGCTTCTTTGAAAGAATAAACAAGATTTATGGACTCCAGCCAGAATGACCAAGAAAGAGAGAAAAAA